TCTCCTTGTAATACCTATGTTATACCTTTGTCATTATACAAATTTATGTCCTTATTTGTCACAAAAACGCGTACACTCACATACACACACACACACAGACACTCGCTCACTCACATACACACACACAGCAACAGTTAAAAAGTGTGCCGTTTAATCGCTGCAAGTGTTCTCCGCTGTGTTTGAACACATGGCAGACCGTCAACAAACTGGCGCTCAGAGCAGCTAGCGCTAATCTAGCCGTTGAGCTAACTGTCGAAGTTTTGTCCTGTTATCTTCGTGTCTGAACCATAGGAAACCGCTTCGGGTTGAGAGCGCAGAGTTATTGTTGTTAGACTGATATTAAAGTATTCGCTATTATAAGCTAAAGACATCTGATACAGAGCGAGTTTAGCAGTATAACGTTTCCTGAGGAAAGTGTTGGTTAGTTTGCCTCTGAACTAACTTAGCCGGGGATGCTAGTCATGAAGTTCATTGTCTGAAATCGCTCAGTCTCCGGTATGTAGGGCACTAGATGTTTTAAAGTGGTGTCCTAGAACGATTCAGTTGGCATTTTACTATCTAAAGTTACACATCTGTTATATGTATAATGTGCTCTGTTCACTAACTGACATTAGCACAGCGAGCTAGCCTTCTGGGTACACATTACCATCAGGACTGAACAGCTCTGCTTTAGGATTACTGATTTCCATCCAAAGAAATTGCGTCAATTCTCTTGGATTCAGTAATATTGAAATTCTTGCTTGCATCCATACGCTGTAAGTATTTTCAGGTAACTTAATGGCTGAGTGATAATTAACATCATGTCTTCCATAAAGTTTTGTAAAAACAAAAGAAAGCACACTATGAAGATGCAAAGGGATATAGATACGACCGTACACAATGACGCATTCCTTTGTGGTGATATCTGTGTCTCCGTCGATCAGGAATGCCATGTATGCACTGTTTGCAATTTGCACAGACGTCTTTTTTTCAATGCATCTGCGATGACTCCTATAAATTGGGCGCGCACGACATCATTGCTGTACGTCGGGTTTACGTTCAAGCCATTTTTCTTCATAAGAATTATTTCGGACTTGAACTTAGTGAAGGGAAGTTCTTCTTTTGCAATATTGTAGGCAACGTTAAACTTGATTATCATCTCGGCCTCGTCTGATGATCTGTTTGTTGCTGCCTGCCGCTGAAAGGCAGCGGTGAGAGAGGGCACTTGGGCAGTGCATTTATCGTGGCATGTAATGTGTTTTATAGATTAGGGTGACCATACGTGCCATTTTCCCAAGACGCGTCCTGGCCAGGATTTCTATATTGCCTAAAATATCTAGGTTTTGGCTTTGTTTGCGTGTGCAGACCGATCGGTGTATGACATCAAAATACCTCGATAGCATGTTGAAAGCATAAGGAACCGTCTGTATGGTATTTTGATGTCATACACCGATCGGTCCGATCGCATCCTGGGTAAATGGCATGTATGGTGCCTTAACTTAACATTCTTAATGAAAAAGTTGTCAATCGTTCTTTTCATATTCTCTCATCATCCGCGGCTACATCCACTCTGTTTATCTGACGGGCCTAGGCTACTCACCTCTCTCTGTGTGACAGCAGCACACGCATTTTCTAACGTACACACACGTACAGGAATATCTGGACCATGGCCAATCAGCGGGGGGGTCCGCCCTTCACTATCTCTGATTGGTTTAGACCACGATATGGGCCTAATGTGTGTCTGTTGTTGAACCACAGGGAGACTTTCATAGTCGCGGAGACTTTTTTTCCCCCTCGAACGGCTGGTCGCACCGGTGCGACCTCAGATTTTTTTTAGTCGCACCATTGAGAAATTAGGTCGCACGTGCGACCAAATTGGTCGCGCACTAGAGCCCTGATTGGGCTCTAGAATACGCTACATGACTTCTTTGAACAGATTTTAAAGGGGTCATATGATGCTACATGCACTTTTACAAGTTGTTTGAACTGAAATGTGTGTAGGCAGTGTGTGTACACAACCACCCTATAATGATAAAAATCCATCCAGTGGTTTTTTGTTAATCTACTAAAATCTTTACCCCTTCCTCAAATTGAGCCGATCTCAGATGCCTGTCTGACGTCACACAGACAGGCCCCTCCCACGATAGTTTGATTGACAGTATAGCGTTTCAGCACAGACTGGACTTGTGTCTTACCTTAGACCCGCCCTGAGTGACTGTCATCAGTCAGCCATTGTTTCACCGCCGGAGCAGATGTAGACAAGAATGACTCGTAAGCGATTGAGGATCACACACTGCCAGTCTGAAAATCTGGTAGCTTGTGATCCTCAGTCATTTAGAGTATGTATGATGATCAGTTTTTCTCTGTCAAACAAAATTGGCAAATATATGATGCATAGTGTTTAAAAATCTGTTCAGGTTATGAAAGTGGTGTTGGGGTATTCCAGCCTTTCTAGCTAAATGCACCCATACAGAAATCCCAACAACCACCACATCTGTATTTTCTTTAAAAATCATAGCTATGTGTACAAATTTGCTGTTAACTCAATAATGAAAAGTTTTATTTTTTAACTAATGTGGGTCTTTCAAAATTTTAGGTTCAGTATGCTTATCCAGCGATTCATTTGAGTCATCCTTTGAAAGCGCAGCTGCTTTAAAAAGGGAAAGTAAGGTATGTTGCATATTCCCTTTGTTTCATTTCTGTCTCTGTTGCCGTGATATCTTCCTTTCTGTGCCTTTACACTAATGAGTGATTACATCTCATTGAAACCATGCTTGCAAACACTACCTATGACCTTCGCTCTGTTTTCTGCTTCTCATTGGAGCTGTTTTAGTGTGTAGAAGTTCATAGCCGGTTCTGTACGTCTGATCAGGACTGGAGTTCAGCTCAACAGGCGCGTGTAGGAATATTCAATCACAGCTCTGAATCTTGTTTGATTCTCATCTCTGTGTTTCTAGTGTAATAGAAGCTATGGTAAGTCTTAAACCTAAGGGTGTGACTGATCCCGAGTCTGATATTGATGAAGATATTGAGCGACTGAAGAGCAAGTGGACTTCAAAAGAGGTGAGCTGAAGCACTGAGGTGCATTTAAATCATTGCTAATAATAAATTAATACATCACTTACTTGAATTAAGTCATTGTACATGAAATAGTACAGCTATTAAAAAGT